GAGTGATATGCTAAAATGAGGATAGTTGGTATATATTTTGGCTTTATTTTTTGGGGCACGGCATGTATAGGGCGGAGGATATTGGCCATGTCATAGATAGTCATACGGAGATGTAAATATCTTTTTTACATGGACTGCACCCCTTTGGTGCTATAGGATTTAATAGACTGTTTATACTTTTTATTTTAAATTTTTTTCTCATTCCTTGTTCTGTCATATTTGTTTTGCACAGATTTTATATGAATAAGTGATTAATGGCATTCCAAGGCCATTAGGAATGATTAACCATATTACAATTTAATTTTATTGTTTATTACAGACAAGGCAAGCTCTAACACCAGAGCAAATAAATGAAGCATGTTATGTAGATGCGAATGCCAATAAAGCTGTCTTTGACAGTTTGAGGAATAACCCAAAAGTAAACTATGATGGAAGGAGGTTCTCTTACAAGGTTAAGACTATGCTCCATTACTAAGATTGATTTAATCTTTCTTTCTAAAATGATTTAAGATCTTAGTTTCCCTTTCTTGTCACCATTGTGACGGGTGGCATTTGTGCTTTTAAATTTTATAGTCCAAGCATGACCTGAAGGATAAAAGTCAACTTCTTGTTTTGATACGGAAATTCCCTGAGGGCATTGCAGTCATTGATCTCAAGGATGCATACCCAAATGTCATGGAGGATTTGCAGGTATTATCGAATTTCTCTCTTTGGATGAATTTCTAAGTCCTTATGCTTAGGTTCTTATTTCAGCAATGAGAACATGTCGATTGAAGTGTATGCTATAAGTTTTAATTTTATATTGAAGCTAAACAAATCCTTTCTGTTCTTAATTGATTTTTCTACTTTCATCCAAAGCTAAGGTTGGATATAACATGATGCAGCCCCATGTTATGAGCCTTTGGTAATTTGGATATTAGTTTGCTAATTGTTGCGATGAATCTCTGGCAGATTGTTTTTGTTGTATTCCATGAATGTTTGTGTGATGCTAATGTGACTGGTCCGATAAAGATATAGATACAGAGTTATTAATCTGGGAAGAAGATAGGTCAAATGTAATTGAGTTCCTTGCTGTTGGCCCTAGCGAACTGCCAGATTATCCCATCTTTCAAAAGTTGTGAAACTTCTGTATATAAAAATCCTCTTCTGCTGTGTCAATTTAATGGCTGTCTTTTTCATCTGTTGTCCATTAAGTTGGTCCCCGTGAACTGGGAGATTACCTTATCTTAAAACCTGTAAAAATTCTGTATAAAGGAACATTCTCCTCTTGCCATGTCAATTTACCAATTGTGTTTTCATAACTGGTCCTTTCATAACCTCTCCCCATTTGTTTGCTCCTGTGATGTCTGTGCATCTCTCTGTCTCTCTTTCTCTCTCTGTTTGTCTGTCTGTCTTTCTTGGTACAAGTTCGTGATGTATGTATCTCATCTTTTTCCAACCAATTAACGTTCATTGCTTAGTTAAGTTGGTGGCAATGTTATTTGCTTTTAAGCTTTCATGGTTGCTTAATTCTTTTTCTGCAGCTCCTCATGGGATTATCCTTCTGTAGGCTTTAAAAGCTGCAGGTCAGGTTTGGCTGCTGTCAAACTTTGATTCTCAAGAGGATATTGCCTATCCAAATGATCCCAGGGTTCCTATCAAAGTGGATAAAGATCTTAAAGAGCTGTTTCGGAATATTGAATTGCCTCGGGACATGCTGGACATTGAAAAGGATCTCCAGAAGAACGGGATGAAACCTGCAACGAACACAGCAAAGAGGAGAGCTGCTGCCCAGATTCAGGGTATTTCATCCAAGCCGAAGCAGAAGAAGAAGAAGCATGAGATTAGCAAGAGGACTAAGCTTACCAATGCTCATCTTCCAGAGCTTTTTCAGAACCTCAGAAACTCCTGAAACGTGGAAAGTGAAAAGGTTCAGTATTTAATATTATATGTTATATATTTTAGTTTTCGGGTGTTTGTAGGCTTGTGATCTAACATATATTGCTTGCAGACGCAAAATCAACCAGTACGGCGGCTGTGGGTAGAAATTGTGTTCTGTTACGAATCTAAGCAGAGCATTCGTGGAAACTTCATGTTGGATTTTTTCCTCAGCTATATTTTGTGTAGTCCATTTATTTTTGTCTTGGCAAAACATGTACTTGCTCAAGTGGGAGGAGAAAAAAGATTGACTGATGTAATTTGACCTTTCAATTTCTGATATGGAAAAATTATAGGCATCATCTTATGTTGCATCAGACAATTACACTTGACTTTACAAATTCTATTCCGCATGGAATCATTTAATATATTTATATATTTTATTTTTTTCATAATGGTTGTCATTGTTGAATTTACATGAAAACTAAAACTTGGTTATAGGAAATAAATTAGCAAGGAAAAAAAGCATCCACAGTTTGAAGTGTAACGAGAGTAAATTAGGAATGGGAAAACTTGAATCAATTAAGAAATAATTTAAGCATACAACTTTCTGCTTGTATTATTTCTGAAAGAATAAAGAGATAATATAGATTTACAATACAATATATATTACTGCTTGGTCGCAGATTTGGGATCATGGAGAGGAATGGTAAGCATATTAGTATTAATGGCTGTAAAGATCAGTAAGAGCAGCAACACCAAGAGGGAGAGGAGTGAGAGAAGCAGCATCAGAACATGAGCTCCTGTGCTCGTCACCTCCTCCGCATACTCCACCGAAGCCGCCGCTAGGATTGACACAGGAAATGAATATGCCCACCATGCTATTCCGAATTTCTTCATTGATTTCTTGAATAAAGTTGGTCTCGATACCTGTTTTAAAAAAGGACCCAAAGGGGAGAAAAATAATAAGTGATTGAATAATAATTATATACCTTTTTTTTTAATAAAAAAATAATTAAGAAAAAACCCTATGGTGAAAAATATAATGAGTGATTTAATAATAAAATAATTATTATATATACTTAAAAAATTATTTTATTAGAGAACTAGAAGATTCTGAACAACCCTTTTAAAGCAGCACAGTCCAAAGACTCACCTCTTTTTTAATATTAACAAGGAAGACAAATATATTCCGTCAAATTTTTTTTTTTTTTTTTTAATTCTATGTTTCAAAAAATGTTGGAATATTTACATATTAAAATCAAAGGCCGATTTTCTTCTTTGTATTTTCTGTCGTTTCGTACGACTATGGACCACGTGCAAATAACACAAGTCAAAATCAAACTAAAACACTGTTTGTCAAAGTCATAATCAGTCAACCACTTTTTGCTGATCTAACAAAATTACGTAGCAAAAAAGATAATTAAGAAATTAATTACCAGAGACAAAAATAGGAAAAGAGAGAGGAAGAACAGCATCTTGGCCGCTATATCGAACCTCCCTGAAATGGAGTTCCACGCCAGGCTCGCCATGCTCGGCGCTGCGATAAACAAGAAGAACACCGGTCTCAACATCGCCGGCAAGTTACTGCTCCCTGTTAATCTCTGATAAAGCGTCACGAACAGCACAACGTAATGCGTTATCCCCAATGAAAACATGCACATCGCGCTCTCTCTCCAGCCCATTCTGGCCGCCGCCTGCGCCGCCACCAAGTTCCCGATCACGGAAAGCTGACTCGCCGGATTCGCCATCGTCGACAGAAACCTCTTCCCTTTCGTGAACCACTGTCCGTATATCTTCACGTCAAGGACCACGATGGGAACCATGAACACCCACCAGAGGACTTGGTAGTACGTGCTTTTTGGAGAGATGAACGGTGAGGATTGGAGCAAGAGGAGCCAAGAAATCCATGGAGCAAACAAGTAGTTAACTCCAACTCGATGCAAGAACTCGGCTTTCACCTTCTCGAAGTGGAAGAAACATCTTAGGAGGTAAAGAAGGGATAGTGAGGCTAACGCGAAGAGAGCGAGTGACCAGAGGAGGGAGAAAGATGCTGAGGGGAGGATTCGGAAGACACGTCGGAAGGCATGAGCGTCATCGGTGGAGTTGTCTCTGAGGATTTTCCAGAGCAAGGCTTGGCTGCATAAAGACATACTGATTCTGAAATAACCTGCATGAAACCTTTTAAGAATTTCAGACAACGACAATGACGAAGACGACGTTTTCTTGTCAAAGATTTCCACAGGCCGAGATTCTTCTTTGCTTACTGGTTCAATATTGTTCTTGGATGGATCAATGACAACCTGGATTATCTGGGAGTCATCAGCTACTGTTTTCTGATCTTCCATATTTGCAAGTATGTAATTAGTGTACAAGTACTGACAAGACCGATTAATGTACTAGCAGGTTGGTGATAACTTAAGGGAGATAAGTGGGTTGGGCTACGTGGGTTTATGTGTTTATATAGGAGTGGAATGTAGACATATACATACATATATACGTAGTAGATATATGTACACGTATGTACGTTGGAAGTAAAAGAAAAAAAACCGAGCAAGTTGATGAGGTGAAAGGAGCGAAGTGCAGAGGAGTAGTGGCGGCTGAGGGTGGAAACAAGTTGGATAAGCTTTTTAGACTTTAGGGTTTGGGTTGAAAGTGGAGGGTGAATGGCTTTCAAGGCTTTACAGCTAAGACCCTACGCGTTACATCATCCATTTTGGTTCCACCAGTTCATGCCCATCAAAAAGAACATTTTTCACTTTTCCAATTTCCCAATTTTACAATTTTTTTTTATATTTTTTTATTTTCCAATTTCTATATTGTACAGATATATAATAATATCTGAGCTGGAACCACTGCTGCTAATCTTTGAGCATAATCTTAATTAAATCTATCTAAAAACCTAATTTTTTGAGTCATGATCCTAATTAACACTTAATGTTTCGTTTCATCATCATATGGTTTATCCGATTTGATATCGAAATAAAAATTAAACAAAATAATTTATATAATTTGGATAATGTGACCTAATTTGAAAAAGTGACATGCTTAATTTTATAATGAAAAGTTTTAAAAAAAATTTATCTCTCAAAGTCAAGTCCAAATGCACTAATAAAGTCCCTCTTAGGGTAAAATTAAGTGAAAAATCTCCAATTTATTAGTATTTAATTTTGTGAAATCAAGACTACTTCTATATATATATATACAAACATACATATATATATAGTTTGTAGTTGCATGTGAGATGTGTGTGTGTGTGTGTGTGTGTGTATACATATGTAAATGTACATTGTAATGTACGTATGAATAAAAAAAAAAAAATCAGCGAGTTTTGATTGGATGAAATTTCGAAGCTGCTTCTTGTGCTGAATGAATAAATCAAATTATATATATATATATATATATATATATATATAATAAGCTGGTGGCTGGCCTGACTTTACTTCTTCCATAAACACGGCGAGTAACCACTCATTTGTCCTTTCTAGAGTTGGTTCATTTATCGGTTAGAAGGAGAATGAGTAGAATCCACGGCCACAAATCAAATCAAGTGAACGAACACCCATTGGCTGCTCCTCTCTCTTACACACATACTTAATATATAAATTTCATATGCACTCTCGTTTTGGGACTTGAAATTTTATTCATATAATATACACAGCGAGACTATAATGATTAAATTAGATTTTATTTTATAATAAATTTTAGATAAAATAGATATTTTGTAATTGTTAAATTATTTTTATTGAGATAATTATAATTGATTAAAATTAATAATAATAATCACTAGGAAAAAGAGTAAATTAAATCTGAGTTTACATTTTTTATTTCCATAAAGTAAATTAAATATGTTATTTGTAACTATAAAAACTTATTTATAATTAATTATATTATGTGCGTAATTTATAAAAATTAGAAAAAAAAAAAAATGTACTGAAAAATTCATATGTGAATAACTGCATAAACTTGTTAGAGATTTTCCTGATTTTTTTTATAATTAGTTTGATACGTAAGACAACAATCATTGTTATTATATGATTCCTCGTAAAGCCTAGAAACTGAGACACACACACACATATACACACATATACATATACATACATATATATATATGGACGTTGTCATGCATGGGTCAATTTACATAAATATTCCAACGTATTATGTAAGTTTAAAGGAAAAAAATGGCAAACAAGGAATATTGTATTCTTATCACCTTAATTCAAATGTAATTAATTAATTTTTATACGTAAATAAAATTGAATTTTCATCTGGATATTTGATTTATGATTGGATTGATTTCTCCACGATATTTAGAGACAAATTTGTATATTTACATATTATTCTACTTAATAATAATTTCAACTATACTAATTTTCATACTTTTTTTTTTTTTAATTGCCACTTATTTTTTAAATATTATTTTAGCAATTTTTATTTTGATATAAGTCTAATTAGTCTTATTGTTTGGATCCAAATAAATAAAATAAAAAAAGAAGTGAAATACTATTATTCAAAAATAATAATCATATCGCATGTCACGATATGGTAGGCTCATTAGATGACGCTATTAAAGAAAATCAAAGTCAAATTAGAAGCCAAAAAAATCAAAATTTGCTGCCAAAGTGTCGATAAAAGACCTGTGGCATATGCACGCATACATCCATGACCAACATATAAACGTAGGTCAAAGAGTTTATTGGATGTTTATGAAATTTATTTTGTTTTATTTTACGTCACTAATAAATTTTTCATGAATTTCTTGATATTTTAGTCTAATTTTAGATTTTTCTTCTTGAAATAAATAATATTTAAAAATTAAAAAATATATATATATAATGTACGAAAATTAATATGATAATTAAACGAAAAAATAAAATATAATTTTTAGTTTTATGTATTAACATTGATCTCTTTTTTTTAAAAAAAAAAACCTTGTCTAAGTGATTAATAAGGCTTTATGTTTTTGTGATATATCAAATTCATCCACCATATAACAAAATCTTTGAACTTCAAGAAATTGTTAAAACGAGGACTGGAAACAATAAAACATTGATCTTACTGCATTTTATACATACATGAAATGCTTATCTGTTTCTTCACACTCACTCTCCTTTTCAAATCCATTTCATCCCTCCTATCCCAGTTCCCAACCAAGATTACGATAAAAAAAAAAACACGAATCTCCTCTTTCATGTCACAATCCTGCCATACTTTTTTTTCTTCCTCTTTCAACAGAGATGAATGAAATACAGGTGTTGGTTTAGATGTTCTTCTTTCTATCAGGTTTAAGACGAACTTTTGTCCATCGATTCCAACTGATTTCTAAGATTTTGATTGTCCTCCAGCAGCCGATCATACTCCAGAA